GTCATGGGAGGAGGAGGATGACTTCCACCTCTCCCCCTGTTAGATTCCCGTTGTGCTGTGACATCACCCTTATACGCTGTGTAAAGCATACTTTTAAATTTATTTTGCAAATGCTGCATCCCTTCATACTTGTTGTAATTCGGTAACATTTCCGCCACTTTCTGCTTATACCGGGGGTCTAGTAGCGTGGACACCCAGTACAGGTCGTTCTCCTTCAGCCTTTTTATACGAGGGTCCCTCAACAGGCACGACAGCATGAAAGACCCCATTTGCACAAGGCTGGATGCCGAGCTACTCATTTCCTGTTCCTCCTCCTCACTGATGTCAATGAAGGTATTTCTTCCCCCAGCCACGCATAACAACACAGGTACTAGGATAGGTGACAACGAAAGCACCCTGGGATGCCTGTTGTGGTTGGTCTTGCCTTCTCCTTCTTCCTCCTCCTCAAAGCCACATTCCTCCTCTGACTCTCTTCCTCACAATCCTCTTCCAGCGCTGCTCTAGGTCCAGCGTTTATGCTGATAAGGCTGTTTCTGGAGGTGATGGTGACTACTAACTCTTCCTCTTCCTCTTCACGCTCATCTACGGCCTGATCCAGCAATCTTCGCAGGGCACGCTCCAGGAAGAAAACAAATGGTATGATGTCACTGATGGTGCCTTCGGTGCGACTGACTAAATTTGTCACCTCCTCAAAGGACGCATGAGCCTACAGGCATTGCGCATGAGCGTCCAGTAACGTGGCAAAAAAATTCCCAGCTCCCCAGAGGCTGTCCTAGCACCCCCGTCATACAAATATTCATTAACGGCTTTTTCTTGTTGGAGCAGGCGGTCGAACATTAGGAGTGTTGAATTCCAACGTGTCGGGCTGTCGCAAATCAAGCGCCTCACTGGTATGTTGTTTCGCCGTTGGATATCGGCAAAGTGCGCCATGGCCGCGGTAGGAACGCTTCTGAAATGGCCACACACCTTCCTGGCCTGCTTCAGGACGTCCTGTAAGCCTGTGTACTTATGCACAAAGCGTTGTACTATCAGATTACACACATGTGCCATGCACGGCACATGTGTCAACTTGCCCAACTTCAATGCTGCCAACAAATTTGTTCCGTTGTCACAAACCACTTTGCCGATCTCCAGTTGCTGCGCAGTCAGCCACTTTTCCACCTGTGCGTTCAGGGCAGACAGGAGTGCTTGTCCCGTGTGACTCTCTGCTTTCAAGCAAGTCAAACCCAAGACGGCGTGACACTGCCATCCGTATTTTAGCCAGTACCTGGGGAGCTGGGGTGCCGCTGATGTGGAGCAAGACGCAGCAGAAGAGGACTCAGCCGCAGGAGGTTATGGAAGAGGCTGGAGTAGAGGAGTAGAGGAGGTGGCAGCAGGACTGCCTGCAAGTCGCGGGCGTGTCACCAACTCCTCTGCAGAGCCATGCATCTCATGCTTGGCAGCAGTCGTAGGTTTACCTAATGCGCAGTGTAGGGTGATATACCTGCTCCTGACCATGCTTCTTTACAGACCAGGTATCAGTGGTCAGATGTGACCTTGCCCCAACACTGTGTGCCAGAGATACTATTACTTCCTTTTGCACAATTGAGTACAGGTTGGGGATTGCCTTTTGCGAAAAGTAATTTCGGCCGGGTACCTTCCACTGCGGTGTCCCAATAGCTACACATTTTTTGAACGCCTCAGACTCCACCAGCTTGTATGGTAAAAGCTGGCGGGCTAATAGTTTGGACAAGCCAGCAGTCAGACGCTGGGCAAGGGGGTGACTTTCTGACATTGTCTTCTTACGCTCAAACATGTCCTTGACAGACACATGACTGTGGGAAGATGAGCGCGAACTGCTCAAGGCGGGAGGCGGAGTGGCAGATGGTTGAGAGGGGACAAGGAGGACAGCAGTGGTTGACGTGGCTGAAGATGCTGGACCAGGAGGAGGCTGGCGGCTTAGAGTAGGCGAGCTGCTTGTACTCATGTGTTGATCCCATAGGCGTTTGTGATGTGAGATCATGTGCCTACGCAAAGCAGTTGCACCTAGGTGGGTGTTGACTTCCCACGACTCAGTTTCTTTTGGCACAGGTTGCAAATGGCATCGCTGTTGTCAGAGGCAGACACACAAAAAAAATTCCACACTGCTGAGCTCTGCAATGACGGCATTCTGGTGGTGGACACAGTACATGTTGATTGGCGCGGGTTGTCGGCTGATCCCGGGTGCCGATGTTGCTGTTCGATTCGTGCTACTCAGCTCCTTGGCATCTAATTCTCCCCTATTTCAATCCCTGCCTCCCTCCTCCCTGTCTCCCCATCTGAACTTTCTCCCTGTTCTTCTTCTTGACGAGCGGGCACCCACGTGACATCCATGGACGCATCGTCATCATCAACCGCTTCACTTGTATCTGACAACTCAGCAAAGGAAGCAGCAGCGGGTACAACATCATCATCATCATCACACCGTACGTCCATGTGTGTAATGCTGCCTGCCTGAGACATATCCCTGTTATCTACATCCTCTGGCAATAATGGTTGCGCATCACTCATTTCTTCAAACGGATGTGTGAATAACTCCTCTGACATACCAACTGAAGCGGCTGTGGTGCTAGTTTTGGTGGTGGCGGCAGGCGGGTGAGTGATATCTTGAGAGGTGCCTGAAGCTAAGCTGGAGGAGGATGGTGCGCCAAGGTTCTGAGCGGAGGCTGTAGAAGATTGGGTGTCCTGTGTTAGCCAGTCAACTATGTCCTCAGAACTTTTCAAGTTCAGGGTACGTGGCCTCTGAAAACTGGGCATTATTCTAGGGTCAAAGGGAATCACAGCACCACGACCACGATGGCCCCTGCGGGGTGGCCTGCCTCTGCCTGTCATTTTTGTTGGGATTAGTGGTACCATGCGTGCAAGCTACTGTGAGACCAGATATGAGTGGCAATGTGCACTGGCACAGTTGTGCAGAGCACAGGCTGTAGGCCTGACACCCGCTTGAAGATAACTAACTGCTATTCAATCTATAACAGAGAAAAAGTTTTTTGTTTTTAAATCCAAGCTTTCTGTCACCAGATGTAAGTGGTGGCACTGGTCACCATATCCACTGTTAGCGTAACACACCCGCTTTAAGGACACTGACTGCTATTCAATCTATAACAGTAAAAAAAATTTTTTGTTTTTAAATCCAAGCTATTGTGACACCAGATGTAATTGGTGGCACTGACTGGGGAAATGGGCACAGTATGCACTGTGAGCCTGACACAGAAGCTGCAGCAGTGGCAGACAACTGACTGCTATTCAATCTATAACAGTGAAAAAAGTTTTTTGTTTTTAAATCCAAGCTATTGTGACACCAGATGTAAGTGGTGGCACTGACTGGGAAATGGGCACAGTATGCACTGTGAGCCTGACACAGAAGCTGGCAGCAGTGGCAGACAACTAAGTGCAATTACATTACATAGAAAAAAAAAATCAAAAAAAGCATACCCTAACCCTAACCTAGCTATGCTTTTCCCTATCTAATGAACAGCAGCTACACTTTCCCTCCTCTTACTAAAGCATGCAGATTGAGAATGAATCTAAAATGGATGCCTTCCAGGAGGTGGGAGGGTCTGCTAGGGAGGGTGTGCTGCTAATTGGCTGGAATGTGTCTGCTGACTGTGAGGTACAGGGTCAAAGTTTACTCAATGATGACAAATAGGGGGCGGGTCGAACCGCGCATATGTTCGCCCGCCGTGGCGAACGCGAACATGCTATGTTCGCCGGGAATGGTTCGCCAGCGACTCGTTCGGTACATCACTATATGTTATATAAACTTCTGAATGTCAGGTGTGCCTTCCCTTTATTGTTATCTACTTGAAGAAGCCTTTTGAGGCGAAACACGTTTAGATATTTAAGATATTTTACTAATTACTTTATAATAAAGAATTTTATTTGGCATAAGACATTTTATTGCCATTTATTATTTTTACATTTTTTATTATTTTTTTATTTAATTTAATTTTGCACCTGACCTATATCCACAAGGAGCTTAAAGAATCCATAGGTGGGGATCATACCATCCAAGCGTCTACACCGAGCAGTATGAGCCTGCTCTAGAGAATGTAAGTTATCTACTTTATATTCTCACGTTTAATTATATACAGAGAGCACTATATTCCTTTTCCTCTCATTTTGGGTCGAGTAATATTAATTTGCACATCGAATTTGGGCCAGAAACCCTCCAATCAAATAATTTTCCTGCATATCCTTGAGTGGGGATCATTCCACTTCATGCGCATAATATCAGAGCTATAATTTAGCTCTGAAAAGTGTGAGTACGGCTATTTTCAATATTCTTGTATCTTATTTTTATCAATATACTGTACCATTGGAGTTCCTGTTTTTCTGTTTCCCTTTTATATATTCTCCACTGGATTCGAGCCTACCACTGTGAAGATTCCACACCGCCTGACGTCCAAAGATTTTGTGTCTTCCTACAAGAACCTATTATTACGGACTCTTGATAAGTGTTCTGGACTTTATTTTATTACTTTTTATACACTATATTATTTTATATTTTGTATACAATTTTAGGCGCACTCTTATCCTTTTTACTTGTTTTTATCTTCTTTTGTTACAGGCCAACTTGTACGTTGATTTCGGCACACCTCAACCGACTTTTGCTTTCTCTACAATCTATAACCTATTGAAATTCTGAGCACAAATATATATATATATATATAAACAAAAAAAAAGAAATTTCCAGGATGCACTCTCAGGACTTTAAGCAAAAAAAATGTGATTTTATTAAATCATGTGCAAGTAAACAACCGACGTTTCGACCCCTGCGGGTCTTTTTCAAGTCATTTTTTTTGCTTAAAGTCCTGAGAGTGCATCCTGGAAATTTCTTTTTTTGTTTATATATTGGACGCACTGTGGATTGCACCCGGGCAGGTATACATTCTATACCAATTAGGAGAGTGCCAAGCTATCCACTTTATTATATATATATATATATATATATATATATATATATACACATATACATATAAACCAAGAGGGATGCCCTCACCTGAAAATGCATACACTTATAAGCCCTCTAGGTTATATATATATATATATATATATATAGAAGAGAGAGAGAGAGAGAGAGAGAGTGTTTATATATATATATATATATATATATATATATATATATAAAACCAAGATGGCTTATGAGTATGCATTTTCAGGTGAGGGCAGCCCTCTTGGTTTATATGGAGAGAGAGAAAGAGAAAGGGGGGAAAGAGAGAGTGGGGAGAGAGAGAGGGGGGAGAGAGAGAGGGGGGAGAGAGAGAGAGAGAGAGAGAGGAGAAGGAGAGGGAAAGGGGAGATGGGAAAGAGAGAGAGGGCTAGAATGAGAGAGGGGAGAGAGAGGGAGGGGACAGGGGGAGGGATAGGAAGGGGGAGAGAGAGGGGGAGGGGAGAGGGAGGGGAAGAGGGAGAGGGAGGGAGAGAGAGAGAGGGAGTGAAGGAGGGGGAGGGAGAGGGAGGGAGGGAGAGTGAGAGGGAGAGAGAGAGATTATATACATATAGCAAATGCTCTGCATCCACATGCTCCATTTTCCACCTTTATCTCCCTCTTCACTAAGTTTCTTCTTTCTAAATATAACACAGTTTATCTTCTGTAAGTAAGAGCAGAGCCAGATTAAGAGCCCAGTGGGCCTGGTGCTGACAGTTAGGATGGATCTAATTATAGAATCTTATCGACCAAAAACACTAAAACAGTCATACCTCCCAAGCGTCATGTATCTGATGGAGATAGTGTTGGAGGGAAACTCAAATGATGCAGCTATACAAAAACACATACTCTATGCTAATCTCTCTCTAATTTATGCTTTCATCTTTCAAGTAAATCCATACCCCCAAACAGTAGTGTCCAGTGAAGCAGGAAGTCAATGGGCAGGGTAAATGGCTGTGCCACTGGCACGATTCAGGTGACCAGAACTGCCAAAAGGGACAAACATGTCCAAAAGGGGGGCATGTCTGTCCAAAGTATTGGAAGGCCAACCTGGCATGAATGCATGTCAGGCTGTCTGCCAATCATGCAGGCTGTCCAGCTAAGGGCATACTATGCAGGCAGCACCCTGAGCTTGAAATAAATGCATTAAATTATGTGCCTACTCCACGCTTTCTAAGCTATCCCCTAGCACTCACATGTCCACTTGTCTCCTTACCTTCTTACTAGCAAGCAGAAGTTCCTGGTATATAGTCTGGGACAGAGAAAATGTGTATATAGTGAGTGTAGAAAAAAGGGGGCATGCCACAGTGTTAGAGAGACCAAAGTCAGCATTGCTTTAACTAATTTTATTGTCAGCCAGTCCACACAAGTTTTGTTCCCATACATCCCTCTTAAGCTTTCAAACACTATAGTCACCAGAACAACTACAGCTTATTGTATTTGTTCTGGTAAGTAGAATCATTCCCTTCAGGCTTTTTGCAGTAAACACTGTCTTTTCAGAGAAAATAACTCCACTGGCCACTCCTTAGATGCTTCCTGGGGCAGTACTGCCTAGTGTGCAGCACTGCCATTCAGTGGCTCCACCCTCTGCATGCAGACACTGAACTTTCCTCATAGAGATGCATTGATTCAATTTATCTTGTTGAGGAGATGCTGATTGGCCAGGGCTATGTTTGACTTGTGCTGGCTCAGCCACTAACTGCCCCCAACTGCCTAGTTGACAGTCTCAACCAATACTATAGGGAAGCATTGTAATTTGCTCAGACCACCACTTCTGATGATGTCAGCAGATAGTCAGTTCAGCGGCAGACAGGGGCAGAGCCAGCAGCTGCAGACATGAATACAAGTAAAATTTTACTATATTTATGGAGGCAAGAGGGAGCCAGAGGACTAGATGGTGGTTTTAACATAAAAGATTGTGTTTCTGACCCTATAGTGTTCCTTTAAGCAAGAGTATGTGAAGAGTAGATAGGGTTGCCACCTTTCTTGGAAAAAATACCAGCCTTAATCATTTGTATAATTAATTAGTTATGCGTGACATCACATGATGTAAATCACATGGAGTGACATAAGTTAAAATTCTGTAAACTCACCAACAAACTACTCACAGATTGATTCTGCTGTATAGATGGATTGCTCCCAGTGTCTTAGTCTTCCAAGTTACCTAGTGTCTCAGTGTCCCTATGTATCACAGTGTCAGTGTCCCCATGTCACCCAGTCCTCCCAGTGTCTGTGTCCCCATTTCTCCCAGTATCTCCATGTCTCAGTGTGTCCCCATGTCACTAGGATACTAGGGGACACCTTGAGACATGGGGATACTGAGAGACTCGGGGACACAGACACTTGGGGACACTGGGAGACATGGGGGTACTTGTGAATACAGACATGGGGACACTGGGAGACATGGGGACACTGGGACATTTGGGGACACTGGGAGACTAGGGGACACAGACACTAGGGACACTGGCTGGGAGACATGGGGACACAGACAATTGGGGACACTGAGAGACATGAGGACACTTGTGGACATAGACATGGGGGCACTGCGAGACATGGGGACACAGACACTGGGAGACTTGGGAACACTGGGGGAAATGGTGGACACGGACACTGGGAGACTTGGGGACACTGGGAGACATGGGGACAGAAACACTGGGAGACTTGGGGACACTGGGAGACTTGGTGACACTGAGACACTAGGGACACTGGCTGGGAGACATAGGGACACAGGGAGACTTGGGGACACTGAGACAGTAGGGACACTGTCTGGGAGACATGGGGACACTGAGACATTTGGGGACACTGGGTTCCTAGGGACACTGAGAGAAATGGGGACACAGATACTGGGAGACTAGGGGAAACTGGGAGCCATGGGGACACTGAGACACTAGGGACACAGGCTTGGGGACATGGGGACACTGGGAAACATGGGAGACATGGGGACACTGCGTCCCTAGTGTCCCAATGTCTCAGTGTCTCCCAATGTCCCCATGTCTCACACCATCCCCATGTATCTCACTGTCCCCATGTGTTTCAGTGTCCCCGTGTCTCACAGTGTCCCCTAGTGTCTCAGTGTCCCCTAGTGTCTCAGTGTCCCCTAGTGTCTCAGTGTCCCCAAGTGTTTCCTAGTGTCTGTGTCCCCTAGTGTCTGTGTCCCCATGTCTCCCTGCTGCCTTTCCCCCAACCCTCACTTACCTGAGCTGTAGAGCTTCTGTCTGGACTCTCTGTGTTGTGTAGCTGCTCCCCCATGGATCAGAGAATAGTAGAGAGAGGCAGGGACTTAAACTTCCTATCCCTGCCTCTCTCCAAACACCGTGACCACTACTGGCCGGTGCTGTTATTGCAAAGTAATCTCCGTTTATACTGAGAAAAATACCTGCATTTATGTTGCCGGTATTACTGCAATACCAGCATGGCCAGGCAGCCTCAAATAGCTTCTGTACCAGTAAAATACCATTCAGGTGGCAAACCTAAGAGTAGTGTGTACTTTTTTAAAGAGGAATGGGTAAACACAAACAAGATAAATAACAACATGTAAGAGGAAAGAAAGGAATGATTTATAAAATGCCTATGTCAAAATAAGCTAAAAATATTGGAGTATGAAACAAGTGATTAGTGGAAGGAGAGACATTGCTAGTAAGGTATTAATCAGTATCACATTATTATTATCGACATTTATATAGCGCCAACTTATTCTTCATCTCTCTACAAGAATATATAAATAATTTAGACAATTACAAAATGTTATGGGAACAACAAGTTAATAAGGGTCCTGTTCAAAAGAGTTTACAATCTAGTGCCTCAAATTATGTAAAATTGTGTAAAACAGTGGAAATGGGGCACAGGGAGTTCACACAATGTCAAAGTTGTACATAACGATAGTGGCTTGAATCATTTTGGAAAAGCATGTTTTCTTCTGGGTAAAAGCAAATACAAAAAATGTACTTTATATGCCATCTAAATTTAGATTATGTATATATGAGTTGGGGAAAAATAGGATTGCACCTCTGAACTTCATGAATAATTAGGCTAGATTTATACTGTATTGCAAAGTAATTGAACATTAAATCTAGACTTAAAATATTTCACTAAGCCTCAGCATCAGCTTTCATTTTCATCCGCAAGATAAATTACTTTCTCAGGCAGGACTGCAGTTACTAAAAAAGCCTGCACACTCTCCTCCTCCCTTACTACCCAGTAGTTTCAGTGTCTCTAATGGCATGGAACGTCATTCTAGCAGCCTAGGAAGCAATAGAAATACAATTTCAAAGAAAATCTTTACATAAAAAAATGTATATTATTACTGTTTTACTGTGGTATTATTCAATGGTAATTTCCCACTTATTCATTTACGGCACACTGTTTTTAAAGGACACTTAGGGATTTCTTTTCATATCCTAAATAAATATTATTACTCTTCATTTAACAATAATAAAAAATAAAAAATGCGAACATTTTAAAAAGGTACAAACATTTTCATATTTTTATATGTTTTTATTAAAATATTAAATGCAGTAATGACACAGCAAATATAGCTACATAATAGAGGGAAAATACATTTGTAAAGACATATATTAAAGAATATTAAATATTATAAATCCGTACCACCAATATTCCCACTTATGTTATGTCACCATGTCACCACTCCCCACTGAAGTCATGTCATCATATCATCATCAATATCCCCATGTATTATGATTCCTTCTTATTGACTGTGAACAAAGTCCAAATTATAAGAAGAAGGAGAAAGAACAATATAAATAAAAGTTAAGAAAAGAAACCCCAGTGCCCTTTCTACCTTCTGGAAAGTCTATTATAGCAGTTAACTTAATCCTTCTGTGCTGTCACAAATTTTAAGTAGCAAATAATCAATCTAACTATAATGCGTTTCCCTATTTTATCAAAGGTAAACATAGTTGAATGGGTCACATGAGACAATTTGTTTTGGAGTGGAGGTATTATTTCAACACTTGTATAGTATGAACAGTGTCAAAACACCAATGACAACTTTTTAATGTTGTGTATAAAAAAAAAATAACAAAGGATTTGTTTCTAATATTTATATACCCTTGGAGAAAAATAGCCAATAGCGCTATCAAGACTTGTACACTGTGAGAAAATTAGTTTGGCTGAACTATTCTTTCAAATGTTATTTTTTATTGAGTTTCCTAAGGTAGTGTAAAATAGAACATATGCACAAGTATAAGTACAGTTGTAATCAAAATTATGACCAACTCAAACAAAAGCAATTA